TTAGAGGGGCGGCCTGGGACAGCCCGGCAAGGAAGGCGCTCCTTGTTTAAGTGAGCAGGCAGGGAATCTCCTGTGTAAACGAAGCTAAGGGGGAGCGCCCCCCCCCATACTCGAGTCCCCTGAAACCGCTCAAAAGATTTAAGACAAAAAAAAAAAAAAGCAGTATGTGTTATCACTAATTTCAGATGTGATAAGCAAAGGTCAGACATGGATGATAGGAATTGACATGATGTAGAATGAAGAGTTACGACAACATCATTGCATGGCTACCCAAAAGGTGTGCGACTAGGCCAAGGGCAGCGGCTCCTAGCTGTAACTGTACCCTAGAATTTATGGTGTGCACAGTGTTCTTGCCAACTAAATATAATTTATTGGCTATGATGCAGTCCTGGAAACTTCCTTGGCTGGGCTGACCCTTCCCAGCAACTCCTCTGCGTCTGACTCAGCATTACCATGAGTAACTTAAGACTCTATGCCTTCTTCAAGTCTGTCACTCATAAGTGTGCCAGAAAATACAAATCAGTCTTCTAAAGATTTTTTTTGTGTGTGTGTCTTCACTTAAGAAAAATTTAAGTGTAAACAGCACATTGTGCTTTCAAGCTGTCATTGTTTTGGGGGAAGGCATCTTGCAAAGGATTTAAAACAAATTTGTTTAACTGCTGAAATACCTTCTTTCAAGTAGCTGTCTTACTAAAGGCAGAGCTGAGGAGAAGAGGGAGAACAATACCTAGTCCATAACCCTGGTTAAGAGGTTTGTCCTGTAGTTTCAACTTTTTTTGTGTGATAAAAGGTTTCATGCTGCTTAATGGAATCATAAAGTACAGTTAAATGGGACCTCTGGCGGTTATGTGGTCCAGTCTTCTGCTGAAAGCAGGGCTAATGCCAAAGCTAGACGATGGTGCTCAGGGTTTGGACCACTGGGATCTGAAAATCTTCACGGATGGAAATCCTGCAGTCTCTTTGAACAGCCCATTGCTGTGCTTAGCTGCAGTCACAGAGACTTTTTCTCCTCATATTTGAAATTTCCCTTGATGTCACATGTGACTCTCATCTTTTCCTTTGCCCTGTCCCTCTGTACCTCTGAGGAGGGTCTAGTTCTCTTTACCCTCCAAACAGATAACTGAAGGTAGTAATCCCATGTCCCCACTGAAGGGATGCTAAAGGGTTAACAAAAAGACCTTTGTGAAGCTGACTGTAGCTAGAATATGATAAGAGCCCTGAGTAAACAGAACATCCTTGAGAAAGAAAGTTCAGCCTGTGGCTCATAGCTGATAGCTGTGGGATGTGGCTCACAGTGGGAGATGCCAACCTGTCTGGGAGCTTTCGAGATGGTATCTCTTTGTAACAGGATTAACAGATCCTGATTGGGTTCCTCAAGTCACTCTGAAAAAGTCAGCAGACACCAAGATAAAACCTGGACCCCCAAGATAAGCGCAGAAGGACCAGGCCTTGCCACTCAGTGAGTCAACTTACGACCACCTATGGAAGAAAGGCCCAGAGGTCATGGAAAACGACCATTGAGAGACCCCCTCCACAATGACCACTGGGGACCCCCAAAGACCACCAACTCGAATCACTGAGCATGCATGACTGGGAGGGGAATATGTAAATGAATTTTGGGAACTCATTGTCATATGTATGTAAAACTTGTCTATAAGCTATGCAACTAACCCTGTGCGGCACGCACATTAGGAGGAGCTATCCCCTGTGCATCCAGCGCTGCCATAAAGAATACCTGCTTAATAGTCATCAGGACTATTGAGGCATGATTTCAGCTTTTCACGGCTTCACCACTTACCCTTCACTTCCAAGAACAAGCACAACAATCCCAGATCCCAGAGCCTCCTCCTGTACCATGTGTTCAGCCCCCTTCCCTTCCTCTTCTGCATTTGCCGTATCCACCTGGTATGTCTTGGATTTTGCAGAGAATGTGAGGGACTGCTGCGACAGGCCTTGTATAGTGTGAGGGGGTGCTGCTGCTTTTAAATTAATAATGACTAGTAACAGTGCCAGGAATGGTTCTGAACAAGAAGTGTGTGAGATTTAATTCTCAGCTGCAGACAAAACAAAATTCTGTACTGGAATTTAAAATACAGCAACACTAAAAATGCTAGCAGCTTCACTGAGATCCCGTTTTTTGTCAAATATGAAGACATTGCTGTGTAGGAGTTTCCCATTCTTATAAGAATACTTTGCTATTCTGATGTGCCTAAGGGTTAAAAGTGACATAAGGTAAGCATCACCAGAGGATGCAGAAAGCAGTGTGACTCGTACTTTGCTTACGGGTACGCCGGGATGTGGAGAAATTACAGGACCTGCTAAGTTATAAATGACCAATTCTCAAACTGCAAAAGGGACCTGTGGACTCAGATCACGTTTTGCAGGAGTGCAAGAAGTCCCATGGAAACTTACTCTGGTTTTTTTGTTTTCTCTCCAGCACTCGCTCTCCTCACACTCAGTAACTCTGGATTTTTTCATCATACCTGTAAGACTGAAGGACTGAGGCAGGGAAACTGTTAAAGGGAATCTAATAGAAATGTTAAAAACAACTGGATTCCAGCTGAGGTTTCATCATAACCCTCTGCATTTTTGTCCTTTTATTCAAAAACATGCTTTTAAATGTGGCATTACTATCCCCCCCTGGTTTGTGCTAGACATACGTTTTCAGTGCGGAGTAAATGTGCAGAGTAAATTCCTTTTAGCAGTCACGTGCATAACTGGTTTGTTTATGATGCTTTAATTGTTATGGAGCAAGAGAAGAATGGGTTGTTAGAAGGAACAAACTGGAAGGGCAAATAGAAACAAAGGAAAGGTACTGTACTAGAAAAT